GCAGAGAAGCCCTCTGTGCATGCCCCGGGGCATTTTTTGCTCGGTTTCTCCACCCTCCTCTTCAAAATGGCCCCCGTCCCCTCGAGTGGAGGCGTGGGGGGGGGGGCTTGTTCGTTTCTAAGCCAGTCCCAATTTTTGGGTGGGTGGGAGACACGCAAACTTGAAGCGAACCCCGACCTCCCACCCAAATATTCCCCGCGAGGATATTTCTCTGCCGTGGGTGGGTCGTGGGAACCTGCTGGACGGCGCGCCTCCGGGAAGGGAGGGGGTGTCTCCCTCCCCTCTTGGCCTCCCCCCTCCCCTTTTTTCTACCTTTCTTCTCGCCCCCTCCCCATTTTCAACCAGAAATCCCTTTATCTCCCCAGCTGGCTCTTTAAATCTCAGAGGCTTAAATGGAGATTTGTCGCATTTCCAGCCGGGTGGTGGGAAGATTTCCAAAAGGTGCTGTTAAAACCTTAACTCCTGCTTTAAAGCAATTCACCTTGGCAAACAACGCGGCCCCTCCCTCTCTCCCTCCCACCCCAAACAGCGCCCCCACCCTCCAAAAAAGCATCTCCCCGGCTTTGGAATTCTTCCAAGCACCTGTTACCGGTTTGTCTGCCTTAATTTTCTTAAGAAAGAGAGAGAGTGAGAGAAAGAGAAAGAAAGAAAAAGAGAGAAAGAGAAAGAAAGAAAGACAAAGAAAGAACAAGAGAAAGAACAAGAAAGACAGAGAAAGAAAAAGAGAAAGAAAGAGGGAAAGAGAAAGATAGAAAGGTGAAAGAGAAAGAAAGAGAAAGAAAAAGAAAGAAAGAGGGAGATACTGTCTAGTTGAGTTTTTCCTCTCTTTTTTTTTTTCTTTTCTTTCCTCTTCTCAAAAACTGCCAGGGCTGGTTGGGTCAGTTGCTTGGGCCTTCTTCTTCCCTCCCTTCCTCAGATGGGAACCAGCCACACCTTTAAAGGTAAAGGTGACAAAAGGCTCAGGATGACTTTCTCCCCCCCCCAGCAGTCTTTGAAGGAGGTGGGGCAGAAAGGGGGAGGGGGAGGGAGGGATTGCTTGCTCTCTTGAGGAAACAAAAAAAAAGCTTTGGGGCTGGCTAGGTGGGAGGGGGAAATCACAGGTGAGGGTGCTGAAAAATCCAGGTTGCCAAATTAAAGCTTGAGTCACCACAAATTCAGTTCAGACAGCAAATTAGAACTCAAAAGAAAAAAAAACTTTCAAAAAAAGCTTTTTTTTTTTCCAACCAGGGGCAAATTTTAAGACCAGTGGACTTCAAAACTCCCAGAATTCCCTAGACCTCCCGGCTACAAGTTTGCCAAGTTTGAGAACAGCTAGCACTAATTAAATTGCATAATAATAATAATTATTATTATTAATAATAATAATTAATAATAATTAATAATAATAATAATAATAATAATAATAATAATAATAATAATAATA